TACTTTTTCTTGCTCATCAGTTCATATTTTTCTTTACACAAAATATTTACAACTTATCGAACTTATGACTTACATAAGGCAGTTAACAGTTTAATTTCTATATGAGTGGATGTAGTTTTTCTTAAATAACAAATTTTTTATTGATATGGCTATTCAATAATTAAATTATAAAATACATATCCTTAAAAAAATTATCTTTATTATTACTCAATCAATTTTAAAAGAATTGTTGATAAATTACAAACATTGGATGACATTTAACCAAAGTGAAATATTATATTTATAAATTTAAAGATTTTAAATATTTTAAAAGTTTGGAAAATAGATTCTAAAACTAATTTGCACATTTTTGTAGCAAGATGTCGGTAAAATAATTTTAGCAAAAATTTTATTATCGTAAAAAACGCAATAAATATAATTCTAGAAATTTTTATTATTGTGTCATATTTTAATAAAGTTTAACATTTTGCATGTTTATTGTTAACGGATTTACAGTATAGTTAACTAAAATTAATTATAAAATAAATATTTATAATATGTAATGAACAAAGCGCTGTCAATTCGACTTAAAGAATTATTACTTTCGATTTTATTTACACCTATATATATCATTGACTAGTTTGTGGTAAGAGTTTTTATTTGATTAGAATAATATACATACGCACTGTTCTTAAAATATATAGATTAATTGTTAAATTGAATATTGAAGATCGAGTATTGAATAAAAATATATATTTTCGTTTTAATATTTCTAGTTAATTATTAATATAACTCTTATTCTAATAAAATTAAATTTGCTAACCAATTATAGTATAATATTTTAATATTTTAATAATAATAATAATAATAATAATAATAATAATATTTTAATTTTTTCAGATTAACATGTTTCTAATTAAAAGCTTAATATAAATAAATATTTGCAAACATATTAAGATTGAGTTTAAAAATATTAGAATAGTATTCATGGCTATATTTTCATAAAAATTTCATCTAACATAATGGAAACATTAGTTTATAAAATATATTAAATTTGAATGCATCAAAGAATTATCATAAAATAAGTAAAACTACCCATTTCTCATCAATTCTTTGTTTCGCGGAACTTCGATTAAAATATTTGTATGTTTCATTACACTAGAATATTAAAGATCAAATATCAATATCAAAATTATTCAAAAAATTGAGTTAAACATTTAAATATAAAAAGGTTTACCATTTAAAATAAATTAATAAGATAAAAATATGTATAAAATTCTAAGATATATTTAATATCAATTATCATATAATTGTAATAGTGATTGAAATACAAACAGAAGTACTGTTATTATATGTATATACAGTCTGCAATAATCAATAGAGATTAAAAATCACAGTATTATTAATTTCATTGACATTTCAAAATATAATTATTTTTAATTATAGTTCAATGATAAAATAATTAGATTTATTATAATATATTCATAAAATAATTATTGAATTATATTATAATGCTACTATAATGATAAAATAATAATGACAATGCAATTTTATATATTATTTCAATACAGATGAAAATATTAAATAGTCAAATATTAACAAATTTTCACATTATGAAAAATGACATAGAATAAATGATTATACTGTAAAATATCTTCACAATAAAATTCCGATGAGCTATATAATGTCAGAGATATTATATTAAATAAAAAAAAATTTTATACTATACTCGCTATTTTATTCAATGTAATTAATATTTATATATCATTTCGTATTTAGAATCTTCATGTGAAATCATCATAACATTGGATATAATAATTCTGAATTATAGATCATAAATCATAAAATTGCACGTAAATAAATTAAGAAATTAAATGTATTAAATCGAGCATTTATTTTGCTGCATATATTTATATATCAATATTCAAGTTAGAAATATTGAGAATGTCAAATGGGAAATAAATTTATAAACACTGTTTGAGTAAATCAATTTTTAATTTATTTGATATTTTCATAAATTTTTCTTTTAGAAGATACTTTTTGTTGTTGATAGTAAAAGTCAAATAAAATATTCGTTAGATAATTTCAAAATTTCATTAAATTAATTGTATAAAATGAATCAATCGATTAAATTTTAATAAAAAAAAACAAAATAAATAACACTTCATCTAAATTTTTTAGTAATAATTTAAAAAGTCTAACAAATTCTTGATCTATGAAACTAGTAAAGATTAGCTTCGAGAGAAGATTTCAATTTCGTTCGTAAAAAACAGATGACGTCGAAGTACAAAAGTTGAAATAATAAACGGAACACCCCAACAACGTGTATTTTCTTTGTTTATATCCTTTGGTTCGTTTGTTGTGCGTGCACACGCACGTGCGTGCGGGCGCGCGCGCGAGCTCTCCATTTTTACTCCCTTTTCTCCAATGTCGAGTCTCGAATGCGCATGAGAATTCGTCCTCTCCTTTCCTCCCTCGTTGCTCAGTCGCTCTCACTCACTCTCTCTCTCTCTCTCTCTCTCTCTCTCTCTCTTCGACTGAGACTCGCCTCTCTTTTTCGAGACGCGCCTCGAAGTCTCATTTCTATATTTAATGGACGTACGGCGATGGCCACCGAGAGCCGAGGCGAACAGGACCATTTGGCCAAGTCCTTCGGAAACAAAGGGTGCATCGATGCTAACGTGATTGGCGATCGGGCGTGGCTCCGTTTCGACGCACCTGACAATTTGTGGAAAGTACCGAGTCGCACGCGCTCTCCAGCACTTCTCTCTTTCGGCTCGCGGGGAACTCAGAAGGGCTCCTTTATTTTTTACTCCCTGCCCCTTCTTCTTCCCACTAACTCTCTCCTGTTTTTTCTGTCTTCCTTTGCGAGTTCCTTCGCACCGAGACTCGCGTACTTGTCCATTTCTTCTTTTTTTCTTTTAGGCACGATCATGCTTTACCAACTATTACTCCTCGACCTTATTTTCGCTGATGCGGCATAAGAAATGAAAGAATACGCGGCACGACTGTTATAAATTTTGCAACGTTTTTTATTATAATGAAAAGTGCTGAAATACGAACTAGTTCTGGCTCTCAAATCATTGCTACTCGCCTCGTAGACGCAGCTTCTCTGCCAAGAAATCACTTTTTCTTAATTTTTAAAGAAAAATTACATTGAATGCGTTAAAAAACATTTCCCAATTCTTAGGCCCTAAAAATACGGTTCTTTTTAAAATATTAAATCGTATATTTGTGACATCGAACTTTTAGTTTAAAAAAAAATATACCTTAATTTAAAAACAATTACTTATTTCCTTTTCATTCTATATTAAAATGTAATGTGAATAATGTAAAAAAAACATTAATAATAGCGGGTAACGTAACAAAAAAAATCAAGAATATTCTTCTGAGCTTTAACTTCATATATTAATATTAATATTATTGTAGCTATTAAAATAAAGTATGAATCAATATTTTTTAATTATAGGAAAACAAACTTACATTAAAAAGCAATCATCTGCGATTTTTTAAATATTTACATTTAAATATTAATTATATTATACTATCTTTTTATTCCATATACACAAGCGTATACATTACACTATATATGTACATAATTTCACACCAAAATGGGTTGTATTGAATTGACAGTTGATAATAATAATAATAATAATAATAATAATAAAATATTTTATTATTATTTTGTCCTATTAACATATATTCTAAAGCATAATCCATAAAAAAAAATTTTCATTCGTATGTCGAATTTTAAAAATATTAGTTTAGTCAATGTATATGTATAATACTCGTTATATATGTAGAGTTCAAATATCAGTGGAGCATCTATATTTAATAAAAATATACCAATAATTATATATGTCACTTATTTAATGACAGAAGTATACGAGATAAATTTATAATATTATTTTGAATGTTCATTCCTTACATTAATTTAACTATAATTTAAACATAATTAATTTAACAGTTATGTATATTTTTATTATATTTTTGAATATGAAATATTTCAATTTCAAATACTTTATACAATGCTATACAATATTAAGCTTTTACAAAATATGCGGATGATAAAAATTAATGAATTATATTTAATTAATCATTAAATTCGAAATATTGCTAAATATATTTAGTGTTATAACATTTATTATAACATTAGTTTAACATAATTTAGTCTTCAAATATTGCGCTCTTTGAATTATGGAGCCTTCATAAAATTACCATTAGATAATGAAAAGTAGTTCAAATATAAAAATTTATATTACAGTCAGATAGACATTTTAGTCTATTCAAAGGAAGCATTTTCAGTTTATGAATAAACTTGTATTACTTTAAACATTTATTAAAAAGATATTATGTCTTAAGTAGGATAAATTTCTATATGAATTTTATAAATTCATGCATTAATAAATTTGAAAATATAAGGTGCCAAATATATTACAAAAATGTATATTACTGAAGTTCTACATATTAAATGAAAATATTATTTTCACTTGACAACTGCATTGTGTTTAAATAAGAAACATAAAATTTACTTTTTAAGGTATTTTACGAATTGGTTAACATTTGAAAGAAAACACTTTATGCATCTTATACAAATTTATAAACATTTTGAAGAAAATATTTAGAATGAATAATTGAAAATGAGAATTACCTATCATACCACATAACAACAATACTTCATTACATTTTGCATTCTAATAATCTGTATTACCTATGTAATAGCTTAAAATGTAAATAAAAAAAGTATATTACTTACAAACTTAAAATTGCATATATAGATATAGGCATTAAAAGATTATTAAAGTAAGAACATGTATTATCATTTTTGAGTAATTGTAATTATTATAAATTATTCAATTAAATAAATCATTTTAAAAAGTATAAATTCATAGTTACAATTATGGTCACAATCAAAATTATAATAACATATTAGATCAAATGTACAAAAGTATTATTTATAAAAAAAAAACTTACCTTATGAATTATTTAGAGTACTTACAAGGACATTATTTATTATTTTAAAAAATTATAGTTTATAAACAGAACTTTAAATTTAATAAGATTACACTTATGTTGACATAGAGGACGGCAGCACTCATCAGTGGAAACATTATGCGCCATCTTGCGAGTATCATTGTCATTTATACAAATTTTGAAAATAACTGTTATAAAATATCAATTTTTAAAAACTAAATAACTTTCAAAAAGAAATACTACAATCAATGACAACCGACTATTTTAAAGATATTTTTAGAACTTAAATGTAAGTAAAAAATAAAGTTTTTATATATGATAACGTAAATTTATATTGCAGTCGCATATTTTGTTACAATGTCTCGGTAAAAAGTAAATATAGTTTGAACAGTTTCTCGACACATTTCTATAGATTTTAATAATTCTTTTTCTGTAAAACGTCCACTGGTTTGGCAGCAAATTATATCTTTATTTAAGTTATCAAAAACACATGTGAAAGCAGCTTTCGCATTCTGGAGTTAAATATTAAAATTATTAATTTTAACGTGTTATTTTTTTATGTTCATTTTATACTTACGTTTAATTGTTTCATATTTGGATCTATAATTACATTTTCAGATTCCTTGTCAATCATACAACATACAGCAGCAAAAATAAATTTCATGGCTAAACCAGAGTTGATCAAAGCCAAACAAGAAGCATTAATGACACTTGCTAACAGCTAACAATTTTTATTATATTAATATACAAATTTGCAATTAAACATGATTTTGAATATTAAATCATTAAATAACTTACCCCACCACAATCTTCTAATTCCTGTATATTAACTGATATACTTGATGCAGGATATAGCGATGTAATGAGTGATGCTTCACAAACGTCTTTTATGTATGATTCCATAAGCCTATCGTTTACACCTATAATATATATGAATTAATTTAAAGAAAATATATATTTTGTATTATACAGTTACCTAACATAATATTTTGAATTTACAAATTTAGATAAATTCTTACTTGGAGGTCCTTTCATTGGTCTAAAACTCGCTTCAACATTAGCTTTATTATAAAACATTTTATGTAATTTTGACTCTACTGGGCCATAAACACCAGCAATTACAGCTGTATCCCCTAAAATGAATACAAAATAGAGTTGGTTACATTATTTATAAAAATATATCCTATATTGAAATCAATAAATATTCTAAAAATTAAAATAGATTCATATAATACTTATATCAAATAGCCAAAGTTAATTCTTAAAAAAATTGTTTGTTTGAACAGAAATACCTTGCATAAATATTGCCGAACCATCGGTTACTGATAAGTAATTTAATTCACAATTTAAAAAACGTAAAGAATATTCATTTTCTGTCATTTTATTATAAAGTAATTATATAAAAATAAGTTATTCATAAGCTTTCAAATGTACAATTGAGGTTATCATGAAATTCACATGTACACAGTTTTCAAGTTTGCCATATTTGAATTTTCAAGTGGAGCCAAACTTATTTTAGTAGATAAATTCGTAAACGCATATGGTAGCTGTCGATAAAGTAGAAAATAATTGATAATGCAGAGTTCTTCTTACCACATGTTAATAAGAATTCAGTAACATTTTTATTTGCAATCAATCACATATTAACATACGATAATTATGTATACTTATATTTATGGTAAATAGAAGGTGTACGTATCAGGATTTCATAAGTTCGAGAGAATGGAAGGAAAGGGCAATTATTTTATTGCAAATTTTTTTTCAGAATAAAAAATTGATCTCCATTAAAATAAATGAAAAAAGTAATCACTAATTAGTATACCATTCAAAATTGTTTATTGTCTGATTGAAATTCATATTAATAATATTGAAACAATTTCATAAGCAAAAAGTAATAATAATTCCAAAATTAATACCAAGGTAAAATAAATATTAAATCAATGTAGGCTAATAATTAATTTAAAAACGTCGTTTAACGAATTCCCTAAATTTTAACCATCATCGTTCTCAATGCAGTCAACTTCTGCAGATTCTTCTCCCTCTTCATCATCAGCTTCTGAAACAGGAGAAAGAGAACGAAACGCGAGTCAGGAATTTTACATAATTAAAGAACTGTTACAAGTCATAGTCGAGACGCATGCATAGGCCTGTGCACATGTATAAGCTTACCGAGAGTGGGGAGCAAATGGGCGATGCGATAAGCTTCCTCCTCTTCAAAGCTCGGATCCTGAATTTCCACAAGTTCGGAGTCAATTACATATTGATCTTGAATTTCCGGCATAGCTGGTGGATTGTAATTGTATGCATTGTGTTTATAACCCCATCCGATATATAAATTGGCAAATTTTCTGAAAAGTTGTCAAATTTTCCTTTCGATTATTTCACTACTTTAGCTGCAAATCTTAGTTATTTACTGGTTTATTATGTTAATCATTGAATGCAACTTCGTACAAGTTAACTATTTTTTTTTAACTATAATTATTTATATCAAATAAAAATTGTATGAATTATAATGCAATTAAAATTTTTTTATTTAATTTTCGGTTGTCATCACTTCCTATATCTAAGTAAGATATTTTCTATTACATATTTTATAGCTATTCAATTCATATTTTTAAATTATAAAAATAAAGTCTTGTTAATATTAATTTCTGTTTTTATTTTTATGTATTTTTTATTAATATGCATTTTTCCTCGACATTTAATGGAATATTTAATTGATTAAAACCTCAAATAAATAAATATGCTATGAAATTAAGTTATGTAAATGAAAGTTCGTATACACCTACCAAACGTTATTTATACAAATACATTGATAATTAGAATGTTAATAACAGATATTTACACAGATATATTCTCGGATAAATATCATGTATTTGTTATTTATTGTTAACACGAGTTTAAAAATAATAGCATATAAAAGAATATTAAAAATAAACAATATTATTTAAAGTTACTTTATTATTTTAATAAATAATATTTAAGTGTATATTGTATGTATACTGAATTATTTACTTGTAGGTCAATTTCATCAGATTCAATATATTTTATATATACTATAAGCGCAATACATATAAATATTAATTAATATATATTGTTTTATACAATTATATAGTGGTAAAGTGAATTGAATTATTAAAACTGTCATAGCATAAGCATGATATATACTTTAGCTTTTTATAGATATGACCTAATATAGCGTTAAATTTTTGGAATTTTTAAAAATATTTTACAACGTTTATTAGATTTATAATTATCAATATATCTATATATGTATGTATTTTTTTTTTCTTTATGAAATGTATTTGCAATTTTTAAAGTAATGCTTTTAACCAAAGAATAAATATAATTTTTAAAACGTTTTCATTACTAATTAATATATAATTAATGATTAAATCATTAATAATTAATAATTTAATAATTACTTCAAAGGCAAGTCAGTCTGTAGAAAAGACGTTAGAAATTAAAACAGTATTTTATTTAGACAATTTTATTAAAACAGTATTACTATTTAGACCATCGTTTTAGAGATGTTACTTCTACGTATAAATTCATAGTTAATTTATTTTTGACTTAAACAACATCCAACTAACTTGCCGATAGCAGCCGCGTATGCGCCCGGCCAAACATTACACCTAACGAGAGCTACTGCCGTGTCCGGTTGTATTTTCGAAGACTGACGAGCCGTCCAAGGAGTTGCAAATTTTGTAGCAAGATCCTGGGATAGTGGAGTTAACAAAGGTGGCCCGACTTCCTTTGCTAATTCACTTTCTTCGCTCTTTTCCTCTTCTCCGTCGCTCCACGTCTCTTCTCCCTCGACCTCCTCATCATCGCACTCGTAGTCCTTCTCATTCACATGGGTGTAATTTTAAAGTAAGTAAACCCTAATACATATTACTACACTCTCATAGTTCTGTACATATCTTCCTGGGTTTAACATTTTTGAGGCGTGAAATTTATATCTGAGAAATTCTAATTCCCGACACGTTATCAATTAAACAAGAACCGACAAACTCGTTATAACTTGAATTTACAAAAACTAATTGTTAAATTAATCGATATGGGATTAACGTTAAAGCTTGCGGTTGAAATTAAAAATAATTATTCGAGTTAAAATTTCTAATTATAAAATTTCTTTTAATTACCTCGTCATCACTATTAATTTTCATTGGATCTTGCCATATTACACGCCCCTGCTTCAGTATGTAAGGACTATGGTGACACCAGTTCGACATTGACGGATCAATTAGATCCTCCAGAGGTAACGGTTTATAATTCTGATTCTTCACGATTCCAGTTTTCTCTTGATAATATTAAATAATAGATTACTATTTATTTTAATGAAATTTAAAAAAATGAATAACTTTAATAGATCGATGTTTCAATAAATTATTTATAGACGTCATTAAAATGGGATTGCAGTATCATCTTATGTTTGACTTAAGAATAGAAAAAATTTACACCAGAAAGATGAACACTTTTAATGAGTTATTCAATATTAGATTAGCAGTAATTAGTCGCACTGAAAATTTGTAATATAAATTTAAATATTATAATTTTAATGAGCTTGAGTCATTTTAATATGTTGTTCTCAAAAATTCGACAATTAAAATTGTTGTTAATCGTATATTAACCGAAAGCAGTACATTATTATAGAGGATTCTATTTAGACTATCAGATACAAAATAAAAAGAAATATGATAGAAATTCGAATCAATGAAGTTTCTATATAACTAGCATAAAACTAGCAAGTATATTAAAAAACATTTACACATATTGACTGTATAAATTTGAATAATGAAATAAATTAGAAATTGTTTATGATGTAATGTAGTAATTAAAAAATTTTGATATTAAAATAACATTAAGAAAAATCAGGTGCTAATCATATTCCTTTATAAATAAAAATATGTTGTACATAACAGAACTGTTGAAACTATTATTGTAACATATTATATCAATAGAAGATATTTTTATTTTAAGTTTAAGTGATAATATCAGTTCATACGCAAGATCACTTGAACATTAAGCAACGTGACAGAGCAATAAGAAATAAAGCTACCTATGAATGAACACCATAGAATACTTTAAAGCGAATTCCAAACTTTACATACAATGCAACAACTTAAAGCACTAAATACATCAAATTAGTTACTTTATTTTAAACTTTTGCACTAAAATTAATTGTGATTTAAAAATTTCAATCAATATTAAGATTAGTTTTATTAAGATTATTTTAATGAATCAGTAATGCATGTTGTTGCTTTATTCTATACTATTACATTTGTGATAGAATACAAGCATTTTTACATTAAGATTATGGTATAATACTTTGAGTTACAGTAGAATCTATTTATTAACACTAGAATTTTTGAAAATCCCTAGTAAATTAATACATTTATTTAAAAAAAAATCACTTATACTATTTGAATATATAAAAAATATAAATTGCAAACGAATGTACGAATGATTTGCAGGATTTTCAATTACACCATTTATGATTAAATAAGCTATTCTGAATATATTATAATTATTAATATATTTTCTCTATTCCCTGTACTCATTATATATTTTTTATTTAACGATAAAAAATTGGTTTGTAAATCATAATTCAATTCATTTTCAGATAACAGTATATTCTTCATTCATCATAAATTAATATTTGTTTGTTTATTTTTTGTTTCATAGATTGAATTATTTCAAATTAATTAAATGCATTTATTAAAATATTAATAATAAAGTATAAAAACTAAATTATTAAACCTAAAAAAAAGGATTAATATTATGCATTGAAAACATTTACAGTAGACTAACACTGTAGATACAGTTAATACCAATACCAATATTTTTTTTATTTATTAATAAACAATAAGAATGAGAATGTTCTTCAATTGATTTAGGTGTATTATTTTTAATGCAAGAAAATCTATTAAGTATATATAATTGAGTAAAATTAAGTAAAAGTAATAAAATTGAGGCGTGTTAAATTAAACATTTCAATATTATGTGTCCATCTAAAATAATGCATTAAAAATTTTGATATTAGGATTAAATTTATTTATATATTTAAATTTACATATTTTATATATTTATATATTTAAATATTCTATACAGCAGGACATTAATGCTTCTAATAGTTTTAAATAAATGAAATCTTAGAAATATATATTAAAACATTTAAGATCGTAATATAGTTTGAAAATATTTTTAATACATAAAATTCATTAGCCATTGCGATTCTAAATTAATTTTAAATGAATGTATTATTAATTAAGTTATTATTCAATTATTAATCAAGAATCTGATCTTATACATATAACTGTTCATTAAAGATATTTTTTGTATGTAATAAGTGTAAAAAAGTAATAAAAAAATAATTTGTATGAATTTAATAGTAATCTAAATATAAAAGATTCTACAATAAAAATAGCTACTATAGTAAAAAAAATTTTTAAATTTTCAATTTTATGAATTCCATGTAATAAATAGATTTCTGCAACAAATTTATTTATCCAACAACTTCAATGAGATTATAAGCTTTATAATCTATACGTTATTTGATTGGCCACCAATATTTTTAATTTAATATTGATATAGATGTTTTAGATTCAACATCTTATGATATCAATTCATCAAAATATTTTAGCCTTATCAGCTATAATGTTTAAATTTACCCAAAACTCATTCACTGAAGTATAAATTAGCTATAGATCAAATAGATATTGAATTTTTTATTTTATTGTATTTAAATCATTATAATGCAACCACTAAATAAATTTTATAATTTTATAATTGAAATACATTTAAAAAATTAATGTTTAGAAACTATTTATAATATATTTAAAATTATAAGCATTTATTTTAAACAGTATATAAATAAAAAAAAACCGATATTTAATATAGAACACAATAATATAGGTAAATATTTTGATGTAGGCAACATATTCGCAGAGATCTGAACTAAACATTAATTAAATCTATATAATAAATAAACATTGTAATCTCTTAAAACTTTGTTAAAAATTCTTAATCATAGTTATTTTATGAAAGTACCTTGTATTAATATACCAATTATATCAATATATTTCTTATATCCATATCAATACCTTTTGGTTTATTTTGGCCTCTCTCATTTTCATCAATTTCTTCATCATCATCATCTTCTTCTTCTTCATTATCATCCCTCTCAATACCATTATCGAATTCAAAATAACCAATTGGTGAAACATGTGTGGCTGCGCCAATGCGTGCAATCTGGGCGCGTAGATAATTCTTCTCATTTCCGGGAAATGGCGGAAATGTATGAATCTAGAAAATCATTCCAAGAAAATCACGATAATTGTATCATATACAATTTTTAGGATATTTCTAACATGAAGTCAAATGTCAGATAAATTGTACCAATTTAACAAAAAGGAATTCCAGATTGAGAATAATTTAAAATTAAGTTTCTTTCAGAATGACATTACATTATTATATTTCAACAGATAAATGGAGAAAAAAATCTAAAAATACGAATATTTTACAGTGCTTTTATATTTCTATGTAATTTATATAGTATTGGTTCAAATGCAAAGTTACATTTATTTTATTGTATATAACATATATCTAATATTTTATTCATTTATATAAAGTACACAAAACACAATATAATAAACTTTTTTCTAACTAATAATATATTTATTTTTATTATAAATATTTGTCAAATGAAATAATTTTATATTATATATAATTATTATATATAAATAGCTCTAAAATGAAATAATATTTAAGAATTTATATTTGTCAAATTTCAAATAATGAGTGGGAAAAGATAATTATATTGGCAACGTTCAAATAGAGTAGAATAAACGATGTACAATATTTTAATGTACATAAAATTAAATTTTGTTATATTATATTTTATTATATTATAATTTATTGAACTTAATTAAATTTTAAAATGCATTTTAAGTTGCAAGCAATACATGGAAACAACGATCCTTAAAGTCATATCAATAAAACGCTATCACATGCAGACGATTTATATTTAGTGGAAGATAGAAAAATCATGATTTAAAACCCTGAAATTATATTAACAGATAGGATAAAAGTAAGTTTAATGAGCGAAGAAAAATAGAATATTTTAATAATAGTGATCAACAGTATTTATAATTACAATTTTTCTAATAATAATATTTGTAATTCCTTTGTAAGTGTATAATATAAGGGAAAGGATTTATATTTTTACATTATTAATTAACTACTTCATAGCATGACACTATTATATTTATTAATATTATTGATGTAATTAATTGATTTATTCATTATTTAGTATTTACTAACATGTAACATGAAAATATAAACTAATGAATAAATATAATTGTTTAAATATATTTAAACAGTCGCAAAAGGATAAAAAAAAATTAAATTAAAGGTAAATAAATGTGATAAATAAATTCAGAGTTTCATTAACACTTTCTTATATATATAAATTATTCAAAAAATATGATTGAAATTTAATTTGATCGAAAAAACCAGGAAATGACAATTTATTAGTGTAATTGAATAGATTCGGATAGAATACGACATGTAGCTAGGAAAAATAGTACTGGACAAATTATTTGAATTTAATTTAGTATGAAATTAAAAAACTTTTCTTATTTAATTGATTTTATTAAAAATTAAATTAGTTAAATTACAAAATTTCTTATGCACATGGCAAAGTTTATTTTACTATGTTTATGTTTAATGTACGCATTTTATAAAGATAGTAAAAAGTAAATTTTAACAAAACTTATGAAATATATTAAGGTGGTTGTATAAATATATTGCTTACTTCACTTTCTAAATTTCCTGTAAATATGTAGATAGTTTGTCGTGCAACAACAATTTGTTGTGGGGTTACTGAAGGAAGCTCGATCCAATTATCAATTCCTGGTGAGTTGCAAACATAGTAAATCTGTAAAACATTTATTATTATTATGCAGTGTTCCTTTTTAAAATGCTTACTGTTTTAAATTTGTAATTATATTTTTATTTGTTTTTGAAAAAAAAGGAAATTATTCATTAAATATTGAGACACAACTTTCCTAAATTGTTATTAAAATATAGTAAAGCATTTAGGATTAAAAAAATCCCTAAATTTAACCGTAAATATACATTACTATTTTTTATTACAGTGACTATCATACCACTCAATATTTACCATCAGATCCATTTTTATTTCAATTCCTATATACTTACATATAATCATACCTATTAATAAAGATAATAAAACCTTTCTCAGTATAAATAATTGGTAAAAAAAACATAATTTTCACTATATTGCTAACAAATTTGTTAAAGTACTTTGTTCTATAAAGTACACTATAGTCACTATTTTGTAAGTTGAAGATTTTTTTTTTAAATATCATAAAAAAGTGACATGAAAATATTATAATATATAATGCCAACAAATATTACAGTATTTTTATACAAAATAAATTATATTCATTCAAAGAATTATGTTTTATATTTTAATAGGTTTCTTTTTCGAAAAATATCAAAATAATTATTGAATAAATTACGAGAATTGAATAAAAATTATGAAAACAATTTCTTAACAAACATGTAAGTGTACATTCTTTTGTTATATAATTTTTATTTGCAAAAAATAAGGGACGTTTTATTCTAGTTGAATATCCAAATGAATAGAATTGAAATTGCTATGCGGATTGATTACTGTACTTTGGCATTTGCTCCAGTTCCTAACTTTTCTTCAGTTACTTCTGGTAATGATTTCCATGTATTTATTGGAACTGATGGAAACACAAGTTGAAGGCTCTCACCTTCTACAGCTTCTCCTTCTTCATATGATAATTTCGTTGGCATTACCGATTCTAAGGCTTTTAGCTCTATATCTTCAGTTTCTTCAATTTCCTTCGTATTCATACTTTCACTTTCCACTTTTAAATATTCCTGTTTATCTTTCAATTTCTACTAATATTTATTGTTAACATAAAAAGTTGTTTATCGACAGTACGTCGTAAATAAATAAATACAGATTACCTCTAGTCTCTCTTCCAATTCCTCTTCGGTTAAAGTAGCCTCTAATATATAATAATTATTTGTCCTCCCTAAAATCTTTCCCCAAAATCTAAATGATTTAAACATAATTAAAAAATTTTTGTCTAAATAATTTAACATAATTTAAATCATTTTAATTGTTATGTTCAATTATTTACACATGTTAAAAGAGATTATCAAAAATAATCAATAATCGAAATTTTTCTATTTATTACCGTATGTTCTTAAGTCTTTGTTCAGCAACTATCTTTCGAATGCTTAAATTCAAAATTACAATCTCTACTCGAGTTAAGCCAACATCGGCTTGTTCAAAAAAATACAATAAATCGAACATATTTGGTATTTCAATTTTCTCCTCGTGGATAGATTCAATGCCTTCTTCTGAACTATGGACTGATTTAGTGGCTGGTAAATTAACCTTATTTACACATTAATGTACTATAGTTTTCATTAATTTTAAACATTTACACAAATTCTGGAAATTTCTTTTACTTTAAAAAGTTTAAGAAGTATCCTGGCATTCTTATACGGAGGAGGCGGCACGTACATGTCGCATAACTGATTACTGTCTAAGGCTTTGAATTTATCGTTTCGCAATTTTTTACTATACTCTTCGAACAAAGTAAAGGCATTTTTTGGTCTCTCCAAAAGTATTTTGCTCAATATTTCACTGATATGATCGTATCTGATAAGAAACAAAACAAAAAAAAAAAACAAAAAAAAAGCAAAAAAATTATCAATGTACAGTATAAGATAAAATGTGCGGTGAAAATTATAATTTTTAAATTAAATTTTTTCTATGATGCGATAACAGTTAATGATATTAATAAACTATTTTCAGAATAATAATTTCGTTTTTTAACGGCAAGCGGTCATTGTTTATTTATTAAATTTATAATACGTTTTACATCCTACGAAACAAATGTGCACATATTAATAAAGAAAGGACTTACAAGTTATTACCGGCCTCGGGACAAAATGTTTGTAAATAAAGCTTGGCGCACTCGATTTCGTGCTTGATAGAGGGCACATCGTCGACCGACCCAGCTTCATCAATTTCATACGTTTGTGCCATTGTGCGATCCTTTTCTTTGTTTATTCCATTAGCCAGGATAAAGCATACGAGATATAACGTTTAACGAGCGTGCACACGAGCTTGCGTCAACACCATTCGGCAGCCGATATTTGAGGTGCTGCGGAGAACCTTATCTTGTCACTTGAAATAGCGACAGACGCGAATATTGCAGCACAGCTGTAGATAACTTCGACTTTCAGCTGTTGCGCACACGGAGCGTCATATCCGAAAAAGAAGCGAGCGCTTTTATCGTGGCGGTCATGTTCATCCATACTTTGGCTCGCATTATTGAAATTGAATACTTATGGTGATGGCCAAGCGAGGCACGAGGAGCTACGTCTAATCAAGAGCGCAGGTCTAAAAATAAAATTACTCTATGATAGCGCAGATAAGTGTGGCGTATGTCCGGGCCCACCATTTCCGCTAGGACGAGCCTTGTTCAAACGGTAGTTCCGGAAGTCGCTGGGCGCTGGCGGGGAAAAAATCATGGGGGAGTGGGAAGGGGTCGAAGAGGATGCGTAGATCCCCCACGAAAACAAGGAACTCGATGGTATTGTCGGTCTAGACGTGGATAGTGTCGAAATTTGGAGAATAATACAAGCAGCATAATATTGGCTTATGTTCGGGATACCTCGACTCTTAAATCTGCATTATGTACTTGCTTGAGTGCATTTTAATTTGTAAGCAAATTATGTAGAAATTATGTTTATCTGAAAGAAGATAATGTAGATTTAATCAAATGTCAAACATTCAATGTTATGCACTTTTTAACGTTATTATATCACATGAAAATTTTAGCTACGCATATACTACCAATTCTTTTTTTATCAACTGTAAAATTTTCCACGTATAACCAATTTCTCTTTTTATATATTTTTATAGAATAAATAACAAAAATAAATATCTCATATTGATAACTTCAAAATAATAGACAATATAATCAATGTAATAAATGTACATGCATTTTTTCTATTATTATTATTATTATTAACGTTCAACGACGCGATAGAAATGATTTCATGGATTCGTAGCTAAAGGATGTTCCGATTCTACATTTGTTATTAAATTCGCATGAATTTTGTATTTGTCAATTTATGCACTATTCTTTGTTAAGTCGAGTTACATTATTTATAATGAGTACATCAGGAGTCACATTTTTTAATAGTATGATAGAATTTGTAATGCAAGAATAGATAATTAAAAAAATGTGAATCATCAAACATCGAATTGCGAGCAAATCTCGGGGTACGATAATGTAATTATCTAGTACGTTGTTTTGTGAATGAATAGTTCGTGAATGAATACACGCGCCGACTATATCAGCTCGCATCCTGAAGCTAGACTATCGTGTATCGGGTGGCCTGAATATGAGAGGCTCGAGGTCACTGTTCATTTCCTTTTTACACCCACTCGATGTGTTATCCAGTTAGCCATAAGATCGAAATGTATCAAAAATTATGTCCACAATTTTTAATTAATTCGTCTTTCACATTTGCAAAAGGAACGCGCGTACCGCACGGTTTTATATGTTTAAATGAAACAATGAATGATTTGAGAGAATTTGAGCCGCAAGGGGTAATGAATATAAGGCTGTGAAACAAAATTAATGCTTTCTTTAATCGTTTACGTATCACAATTATTCGCTATATAGACGATTACATTTCTCAATTTTATGAAATATTCATGCAAAACATTTATTTACACGATAGATAGATAACTGTTATTCGATGTGTTTTTCCATATTTATTTGACCCATCTAATGATACTTTACTTTACTTTTTACATAACAATAACACACGCACCATATTCTATTGTCTACTAAATGAGTTACATAAACAATTCCTTATACCACCATACAAATACATATACAAGATCGAATGCAGTGTCAACTATTGTCATGTTATTTCATAATTTATCTGTCATTAGATTGCGTATGTCGAAGTATCACTCATAATTTTAATTTTTCAATACTTGGAAATACTTTTTTGTTTAAGTCTCATAAGAATCTATACATCTTATGAATAAAATACTGATTAAAATAGTGTTATATTATATATTTTTTTTTATTTTAGGTTTTAGACTGTACGGTAGTAGCTGATAATTCCATAGTTTGTACATAATATAGCGATACAAGTCTTGAAGGTAATACTTTTTTTATTCAGCTTCAAATACATTCATCATATATTCTTGCACAAGGAATTTTCATTTTTTCCTTCAAATACTTTGTTAATACTTTATAATTCTATATCTTTGCATACTTGATCATTGCTAATATTCAAATACTGCAATTCATTTTGCTTTATCTCTCATTATAGATCTATTAAGTTTAAAATATAAATGTTTAATGTCAAAATAACATAAAAGCTAAAATTTTAAAATAATTTAAGCAGAGTAGATAAATAATCTTATTCTGTAAAATCATTAATTTATAAATCTTCATTTAATGAATAACTAATAAAATAGATAATTTTTTATAATTTTCAAAATTTCAATTAATAATTAAAATACTAGTGGTTCCTTTAAGTTTTTTGCAGTACAATCTTTCTATCAAATAATACAATAAATCTTATGAATTTTAACAATACACGTTACGCTATCATACTAAATCAATTCAGACGCAAATTATTTAAACCTTACTTTTTTACAATTTTTCAAGTGACTCGATTATTGTACTAACGTAAATCCTTCACTAAAAATGAACATTTTTACAAAATTAATTTTGAGATATATATATATTAGTGTTATTGATTAAGTGTAAAATAAAAACAATTTTTAAGTATTGATATTCACTATTCATTAATTATTATTATTATAATTATTATTATTATTATTATTATTATTATTATTATTATTATTATTATTATTATTATTATTATTATTATTATTATTATTATTATTATTATTACATATATTAAGTAAATCTTGTTAATATAGTTATTCTTTCATAAACCTATAACTTGACTTTTTTATGCATGTTACAGCTCAAAGCATCATCTGCATTCACTTACCTATAATACCTTAATTATTGTTTTAACCTTACATAAATCTCTGTATAATTTCTTATATACGCAATCAAAATACAGCATGTTTTTACTTAGATTCTGAAACTGTATTATATGTTTTGTAGCTGTTGACCGTTCTATTGATATTTATCCAGTAATTGCTACTGACTCAGCTATAAAATTATGATGTTTCTAATAAATTCCTTCAAACTAATAATAAATTTAAGTTAAATTTATATTCATTGTTTTTAAAAAGACATATGACAATTATGAATATTGATTATTGAATATTATAAAATTATTAAGTACATAAATTTTGAAATTTAAATTTAAAAAGGAGTATGAGTTTTTATCGTTTTGGTTAAATCTACACGATTTAAGAAATGTATACATTAAATATTTTCCATGAGTTTGATTAATTTTTAAAAATTTTATTGATATGCTTTTTATTAATTAAATTTAATAATCGTTCAATAATAATTTATTTATTTAATAATGAAGATTGAAAAATTAAGAAGAAACAAAATATAAATTTGTATATTCAATGATATTTTGTCTATGATGTATGATAGTAGAATGTACTGCAATGTTTTTCTTATGTAATAATAGATCAAATTTTGAATTTAGATTATTTAATTTCACATCAAATATACAGCAATTACATTTCCTATAGTAATAAAAGAATTAATGAATATATTTTCCTGTTATAAATATCTTTCGATCTTAGTTTTTGTTCACAAATAGATATTAAAAGCATACTATATAATGTTATAAAAAAGCATAAAAAGGGAAATTAACAAAGAATCTTTTATTTTTAATCAAGTATTACAACTAATAAATTTTCTATGTAGAAATATTTTTAATTCTGTAATAGTGTATATGCTTTACAAAATGTAATATTCTTTTTTTGCATTTGACTTTAGTAAATTTGCAAAATTTATGAGTATGAGTGCCGGGAAGATTCGGTTGGTAAAATCAGCAGCTTTGAATCCAAAAGTCATATTTTAAATTCTTGTTTTGAGCCGACTTGTTGTTATCTCTTCATAGACTGGAAATTATTCATATTACCATAGACATATTTATCTTTTATTCGGATTTTGGTGGTCAGAAGTATTATCGGAACTTTGAATCTACATGATACTTTAGATGTAAGTTAAAAAGTAAATAAAAATAAAATAAAGAAAATTGTATCTTAATTTCTTAACTACAATTTTGTGCTAGTGAATCATTTATATTGTTATTTATTATATAAGAGAAAGCTTTAAAGATTTGGTTCACATTGTCGGTAAGCTGTTAAAATAATGTCTTTTCCAAATTTCATAGCTTTGAAACACGCAAAATACAGGTGCAAGTGAACATGTAATGGAGTGATAGGAGAGGATAGAAACAATATAGATAACTCAAGAGATCAGTAGTTAAAACCGAAATAAAACTGACAAAATGCAAACGGCTCTGTTTTAGATTAAACTATGCCTGCTGTCAAAAATGATGACCAATATATAAGTACATTATTCAGCTTATTTAAGGAAAAACAAGTTTTCTACCAAGTTACACTAATAATAAAAAATATTGTCTCGTATAGTAAACAAAAAAGTATTATTATTAAAGTGACTAATCGAACGACACAGTGGCTTATTTTAGTTTGGGCTGCATTGTTTAGTATCAAGCGTCGTCTTCTCTACTTGATGATTAATTAGCTATTGTCTGTGAAATTTCAATAATGTTCCTGATCTTTAACAGTAAAATATCTGGAGAATACTTACAATGAGGATCATAATTATATTGATTGCATATCTCGAATTGCACAGCTTCAGCGAGATAGATAAATAGGAGAAACGAGAAGGGAAGAGAGAGAATAAAAGAGAGAAAGAGAGAGAATAGAATGAGAATAGAATTGATTGATGAGCTGCCATTGTCCACTATTAGATGTGAAATGATTGATTTATGATTTTCAGAAATTCCAAGAGGCATGTTCACTATTAGCCATACGGTTTTACACGTTTATACAATAATGTTTTAATTACTTGTATATAAGCCCATCATAATTTATGCATTGATTATTTTCAATTTACAATTATTCAATTAATTATTATTTAATGCAAAAGAAGTTGAACTTCATACTGTTATATAAATTAATATCGTTCCAAAACTTAATGTTTTCAAATAAAAAATTTTTTTACAAAA